CATACACAACTGTAGGCCAGACCAACAAGGGGGTGGCACAGCCATATACTACTCAGACCAACTAAAATGTATCACTAATACTTGCACAAGGGATGAACATGGGGAATATATAATAGCTAAATTCAAATAGTCATATAGTCGGACTTGAGTCCTGGAAATGGGAAGTACAATGCCTGTACTTTAAAGGAGGGGTTTGGGATATTGGCAGTTTGGAGGGATATGTTGTGTATCTTTATGTGTGTATGCTTCTAGACTGTTGTATTCTGAGCATCTCTGCAAAAACAGTGATAATGTGCGAGTGTGGTGAAAGTGTTGAATGATGATGAAAGTATTTTCTTTTTGGGGATTTTCTTTCTTTTTTTGGGTCACCCTGCCTCGGTGGGAGACGGCCGACTTGTTGAGGAAAAAAAAAAAAAAAAAAAAAAAAAAAATCAAATCCAAGTACCTACAAAAACCTCTCACATTGATAAACATCTACAAAGTTCCACAGTCAAACATTAGCCAATTTAGTCAAAATCTAGGAAGTATGATAACTGATGCACGCATGAACAAAGATCACTTACTACTCTCAGGTGACTTCAATATAAATCTCCTGCAAGACCAGGACCCACACGTTACTGAATTCACAAAAACAATGAGTAACTGTATGTTACTACCAACAGTAACAAAACCTACAAGAGTTACAGAGACTAGTGTTTCCCTACTTGACCACATCTGGACCAACACCATATCCCCTTTAAAATCAGGCATAATTACAGATAATACCACAGACCACTACCCTACTTTCCTCATAACTCTTGGTAAACTACCCCAAGACACTACTAAAGTCAACTTCAGACTTCACAATGAGGCAGCCATTAATAACTTCACAACAGCAATAGCAAACATTGATTGGCACACTGAGCTAGAAACCTATACAGATATTGACGAATGTATTAATAATTTTCTAAAAAAAAAACCAATACCTCTATAACAAGCACTGCTCTAAAAAAACTAAACAGATGACAGCAAAGAGACTGAACAGTCCCTGGCTAACACCCAGCATTCTCAAATCCATAAATACAAAACACCAATATGAAAAACAGTACAGAATGGGTCACATAACCAGAGACCAAACAAAACGTTACTCGTCAATCCTAACCAGCCTGATAAGGGCAAAAAAATGGTATTATGAGAACAGATTATCCAACTTACGAGGTGATATAAAAAAGACCTGGAAAACCCTATCAGAAATTCTGGGAACAAAAAAGATATCACGAAATAGCGAAATAAAATTAGCAAAATCAGATGAACCCCAACTCCCACCAACAGAAACAGCAAACAGACTCAATGATTTCTTCTCCACTATAGGACAAAACCTTGCCAATAAAATCCCAAGCTCAGATACCCCACCAAATGACTACCTCACCGGCAACTACCCGAACACACTGTTCCTAGCTCCGACTAACCCATACGAAGTCCCCCTTATTATCAACGCACTAAAAAACAAGGCAGGAGATTTAAATACCTTACCACCCTTTATATACAAAAAAGTGTCACAAGTGCTATCACCAATCATTGCAACACTCTTTAACAAATCCATTGAATCCTCCACCTTCCCTACAGTACTCAAAATAGCAAGGGTCACCCCAATCCACAAAGGAGGAGACCAACCAGAGTTGAATAATTATAGGCCAATATCCAACTTACACCCTCTCTCAAAAATCTTCGAAAAATTAATTCATAAACGAATCTACTCCTACCTTATCTCCCAAAACATACTCAACCCCTGCCAATTTGGATTCAGGCCTAATAAAAATACTAATGTTGCTATTATACACATGCTAGAACATATATACACTGCAATAGAGAAAAAAAAAGTCCCACTGGGGATCTTCATTGACTTACGTAAAGCTTTTGATACAGTTGACCATGACTTGCTCCACGTAAAATTGTCACACTATGGTATAAGAGGGCACTCCCTCAACTACCTCAAGTCATACCTCAGCAACAGAAGCCAATATGTGTACGCAAATGGGGCAAAAATCTTCTGCGCAACCAATTACAGTTGGTGTCCCACAGGGAAGTGTCCTTGGCCCTCTTCTCTTTCTCCTATACATAAATGACCTTCCAAATGCTTCGCAATTACTCAAACCCACACTATTTGCAGATGACACTACATACGTCTTCTCTCACCCGAGCCCAGTCACGCTAGCCAATACTGTAAATACCGAATTACAGAAAATATCTACCTGGATGAGGACTAACAAACTTACACTAAACATTGACAAAACCTACTTCATTCAGTTTGGTAACAGAGCTACAGATGTCCCTCTTAACATAATGATAAACGGATCACCTATCACAAAACTAACAGAGGGAAAATTCTTAGGAATCCACATTGATAATAGACTCAAATTTCATACACATATACAACAAATTTCTAAGAAAATTTCCAAGACTGTAGGCATACTATCGAAGATACAGTACTATGTTCCACAGTCAGCCCTCCTGGCCCTATATCACTCTCTTATTTACCCCTATCTCACCTATGGAATTTGTGCATGGGGCTCAACAACAATTAACCATCTCAGACCACTAATTACTCAACAAAAGGCTGCAGTTAGAATGATAACAAATTCTCACTACAGGCAGCACACTCCACCAATATTCAATACACTAAACCTACTCACCATACAAAACATCCATACTTATTACTGCACCTATTACATACATAGAACACTTAACTCTGATATTAACCCTCCCCTCAAACATCTCCTTGCCAACCTCAACAGAACACATGACCATAACACAAGGCACAGATCACTCTTTGATGTTCCTCGTGTCCATCTCACACTATGCAAAAACTCAATGCACATAAAAGGCCCTAAAATCTGGAATTCATTACCTGTAAATATAAAAGAAACACTACCTGTTTATAAATTCAAGTCTCTTCTCAAAGATCACTTACTCACCCAAAACCAAATAAATACTGAATAACTGAACCTTATAAATTGTATATCTTAAATGTTTCTCACAATTATATCACATAAATGTTAAACCTAAAACTGAATCTAACTTTATTATTTTTTAAATACACTACCTAACAGAATCACTACCTAACTGAATGCAACCATATGACCTGTCTTTGTAATACTCACTTGTGCTTTATAGTAATCTGTTTACATTAATGTTTTATCACTGATTTCATCATTGCTTAGTTAACCTTAAGTTAATTTTAAGCCAGCCCGTAATGCTATGCATAGTATAAGTGGCTTTGGCATGCTGCTCTTATCTGTATTTTTTTGTACCTCTGTATGTGTGCTCAAATGATGCCTGAATTATTCGAAGAATATTACCTTCTGATACTGTATGAACATCTTGAGATGGATAACTACTACAGTCATGGCAGGAATATTCAACTCACAGGGGTCATACAGCATCTTGGGAAACTGCAGGTAATCAGGTTTGATCCAAGGGAGGTACTGTTCAATTCCTTGGATCATAAACTCTTTACTAGCATCAAGGAATGATGGAGCAATTACTGATATGTGCAAGAATTTAAATGATAGTCTTCATAGTTTCCACCAGCCTAAACTACATGCATGTCTGTGTGTGCATACATGCATGCATGAGCAAAATTAATATGGATACTAAAGAAAGAAGAAAGTTGTTATCGAAATTGTAATAACATATTTAATGGTCAATACAAAAACTTTTCGAAGTTAATAATGATAGAGCAATGATAGGGCCATTTTTTCTCAATTATGATTTCTTTTATAACACTGTATGTGATAGGTCAAATAATGATCTTATGCTTTCAGTCAAATTTGCCTCTTTAAAATCTAGTGATGATACTGATTCCTAACATGTTTATTTTTACAGAGCTACGACCAACAATCAGAAATATGGAAGGTCAATAAGTAACCCTCTAGGTAGTAGGTTGGTAGACAGTAACCACCCAGGGAGGTACTACTGTCCTGCCAAGCGAGTGTAAAACGAAAGCCTGTAATCGTTTTACATGGTAGGATTGCTGGTGCCCTTTTTTCTGTCTCATAAACATGCAAGATTTCAGGTACGTCTTGCTACTTCTACTTGCACTTAGGTCACACTTACACATACATTTTTTTTTTTTTCATCAAGTCGGCCGTCTCCCACCAAGGCAGGGTGACCCAAAAAAGAAAAAATCCCCAAAAAGAAAATACTTTCATCATCATTCAACACTTTCACCACACTCGCACATTATCACTGTTTTTGCAGAGGTGCTCAGAATACAACAGTTTAGAAGCATACACATATAAAGATACACAACATATCCCTCCAAACTGCCAATATCCCAAACCCCTCCTTTAAAGTGCAGGCATTGTACTTCCCATTTCCAGGACTCAAGTCCGACTATATGAAAATAACCGGTTTCCCTGGATCCCTTCACTAAATATTACCCTGCTCACACTCCAACAGATCGTCAGGTCCCAAGTACCATTCGTCTCCATTCACTCCTATCTAATTACACGCTCACGCACGCTTGCAAGCATATATATACACACCCCTCTGGGTATTCTTCTATTTTCTTTCTAGTTCTTGTTCTTGTTTATTTCCTCTTACCTCCATGGGGAAGTGGAACAGAATTCTTCCCCTGTAAGCCATGAGTGTTGTAAGAGGCGACTAAAATGCCGGGAGCAAGGGGCTAGTAACCCCTTCTCCCGTATAAATTACTAAATTTAAAAGAGAAACTTTCGTTTTACTTTTTGGGCCACCCTGCCTTGATGGGATACGGCCGGTGTGTTGAAAGAAGAATAAGTAACCTAAGAATAACCTGTCATAACTGTAGTTTTGACCTATGGATCAGACTGTTAAAAATTTGCCAATCTAACTTTTTATCCAACTACCACCCCAAAACCAAGTTTCAGAAAAAGTGACAATGTAGGGTGTTGTCTGTTGGTTGATCTCTCCTGAACTGCCCATTAAACATATAACAATAATGAGTTTCAGCTAAAATACTATTAAATCAATATTCTTACAAGCTGACTCTGAGCTTCTTCAATATCACGCATCAGCTGATCTCTCTGGCGACACATTTCTTGCTCCATTTCAGCTTTACTGGCAGCAATAGCAATCTCCGCTTCTTTTTGCAACCTAAAATTGAAGAAAAAGTCTAATCAATGTCTTGACATATAATAATACATTTTCTTCTTTTTACACCTTAACACTTCATTAACAACAAACTACAGGTTCAATAACAAGAACATTCTTCACTAACAACAAATTACAGGTTTATTTAAAACAGAAAAGTAAGGTTTTTATTCTTGCCTTCGTTCTTGCTCCTTTAAAAGCTCCTCTTTTGTAAAGTAAAAATCCATCTTCTTTGAAGTCTCCCGGTTAGAATCTTTGCCTTTTACTATATTGCCAAATCGGAAGTAGTAAATGCCAGCAAGCACCAGTCGATCATTGTGATGCAGCTGTACAGGAAATACAAGTAAATGATTAACAGTAAGCTTACAACCTTAGAATCATTTCGCTATAAGAAAACTTCACATAGTATTATAGTCATGATACATCTTTTGCATGACTCCATGCTGACCTTTATTGTTTGTTTATCACTCCGATTGTCTCCCAATGAGATAGGGAGAGAGGGAAAGAAAGAAAATATTCCACACTAAATTTACAAACGCTAGTGTTGGTAAACATGATAAAAGCTTATTAAGCAAGAAGTGGTGGTGAGCAACATTTAGAGAGAAAAGTATACATGTAAAACACTCTTTAGTAAATAATAATTGATTAATAATGAATCCAGACTAGAGAGTATTTGCTCAACAGTTGGACACATTTAATATCACAAAAGACTTTTACAACTTCGACATTTTGGTCCATCCTGCATCATTATCAAATTATTTTTTCATTAACACATCGGCAGATTCGCACCAAGGAAGGGTGGCCCGAAAAAGAAAAACTTTCATCATCATTCACTTCATCACTGTCTTGCCAGAGGGGTGCTTTACACTACAGTTATGAAACTGCAACATTAACACCCCTCCTTCAGAATGCAGACACTGTACTTCCCATCTCCAGGACTCAAGTCTGGCATGCCGGTTTCGTTGAATCCCTTCATAAGTGTTACTTTGTTCACACTCCAACAGCACGTCAAGTATTAAAAAACCATTTGCCTCCATTCACTCCTATCAAATACACTCACGCATGCTTGCTGGAAGTTCAAGCACCTCGCACACAAAACCACCTTTACCCTTTCCCTCCAATCTTTCCTAGGCTGACCCCTACCCTGCCTTCCCTCCATTACAGATTGATACACTCTTGAAGTCATTCTATATTGTTCCATTCTCTCTACATGTTCAAACCACCTCAACAACCCTTCCTCAGCCCTCTGGATAATAGTTTTGGTAATCCTGCACATTCTCTTAATTTCCCAGCTACAAATTCTCTGCATTATATTCACACCACACATTGCCCTCAGACATGACATCTCCACTGCATCCAACCTTCTCCTCGTTGCAACATTCATCACCCATGCTTCACACCCATATAGGAGTGTTGGTATAACTATACTCACATACATTCCCCTCTTTGCTTCCATGGACAAAGTTCTTTGTCTCCACAGACTCCTAAGTGCACCACTCGCCTTTTTCACCTCATCCTTCATAGATCCATCTGATGACACGTCTACTCCTAAATATCTGAATACATTCACTTCCTCCATACTCTCTCCCTCCAATCTGTTATCCAATCTTTCATCACCTAATCTTTTTATCCTCATCACCTTACTCTTTCCTATATTCACTTTTAATTTTCTTCTTTGACATACCCTACCAAATTCATCCACCAACCTCTGCAACTTCTCTTCAGGATCTCCCAAAAGCACAGTGTCATCAGCAAAGAGCAACTGTGACAACTCCCATTTTGTGTTTGATTCTTTATCTTTTAACTCCACACCTCTTGCCACGACCATTTCATTCACTTCTCTTACAACCTCATCTGTAAATATATTGAACATCCATGGTGATATCACACATCCTTGTCTACCTACATACTCTAACCTGAGCCTCACTATCCTTGTAAAAACTCTTCACTGCTTTCAGTAACCTACCTCCTATACCATACACCTGCAACATCTACCACACTGTCCCCCTGCCCACCCTGTCATATGCCTCTTCCAAATCTATAAATGCCACAAAAACCTCTTTAGCCTTATCTAAATACTGTTCACTTATATGTTTCACTATAAACACTTGGTCTCCACACCGCCTACCTTTTCTAAAGCCTCCTTGTTCATCTACTATCCAACTCTGTCTTACTCTTAATTCTTTCAATAATAACATTACCATACACTTTACCAGGAATACTCAACAGACTTATTCCCCTATAATTTTTGCACTCTTTTATCCCCTTTGCCTTTATACAAAGAAACTATGCATGCTCTCTGCCAATCCCTAGGTACTTTACATTCTTCCATACATTTTTTTAAATAATAGTACCAACCACTCCAAAACTATATCCCCACCTGCTTTCAACATTTCTATCTTTATCCCATCAATCCCAGCTGCTTTACCCCCTTTCATTCTTCCCACTGCCTCATGAACTTCCTCCACACTCACAACTGGCTCTTCCTCACTCCTACAAGATGTTATCCCTCCTTACCCTATGCACGAAATCACAGTTTCCCTATATTCAACAACATTTAACCCCTAAACTGTCCACACACAGATTTATGTTCACGAGCGGCAGGCTCCGAACGTAGATCAGCGTTTTATTTTTCATTCTTTCAAAATTGGTGCGATAGGCCTGAGTCGCCTAGACACGAGAGAATGGATGTGCTCACTCAGTATGCGCACTTTGAAAAAAATCGAGGATGCTGGAGTACCACGTGGTAACACCAGTTAGTTTCAGCTACATCTTGGGTCAACATCATGGCAAACCCCCGCGATTCAGTGACGCCTCGGCGTATTAACACGACTATTCCCGGAAAGTGATACAGAATGCGAGTTTAGTGGTTTTGACTCCAATATAGCCACTAAAGATCAAGGAATTAGCGAAACTTTTGTTGATAACCCAGACGACCCTCAAGCCATGACCTCTGGGGTGGCCAGTGTGGCCATACCAGACCCTCAACCCAGCACTTCTGAGGTGGCCAGTGTGGCCACAACAGACCCTCAGCTCAGCACCTATGGGGTTGCTAGTGTTACTTCCCAAAAGCAACTCCGCAAGAGGAAATTATCATTTTCCATGTGTTATGGTGATGATGATAGTGAAAGCGATAAGTGACGACGATGAAATCAATTTTATGCCAACAGACGATTCGTCGAGTGAAAGTGACCATTTTTCTCCAGTGAAACGTACTTTTAGGCGTCATAACCTATGTTCAGGCAGTGTGCCATATGTAGTCGGTGGCAGGTCACGATCCGAAACCCCAGCTAGTGATAGTGATAATGAAGGTGAATATGCTGGGATGGAGGAAGAGGGGGGTGGCATGGTGCCTGGACCTCGTGGCGCAGTGGGTGGGCATACAAAGGACCGCCCAGCACCCTTTTCAACCATGTGCTGCTTCTACTCCTGTCCCCCCCCTCCTGCTCCCCCACGCCCCATGCCACAGGTGCACCCTGCACCATGTGACCGCAAATGGAACTGGACAGAAAGTACACCATTTGTGCCACATCCTTTCAATTTTGATGCCAGTGGAAGTGGCATCATGCCACACTGTCCCATCACAAATGAGTCTACAGAGTTAGACTATTTTCAACTATAATTTGACGAGCCAATAATGAGCCTAATTGTTACCCAGACCAACATGTACTACCAGTATACAATGGACCACACAGATGTTTCAGAGTCTTCACGGCTGCGCAGGTGGAAAGATACAACTGTGGCTGAAATGTATTTATTCCTTGGCACTGTCATGCTTATGCCACACACCTATAAGAACAATATAGCACACAACTGGCCCACAGACCACTTCATCAGTACTCCAGTCTTCCGTGACGACCTTCCCTGCAACAGATTCACTCTGTTGCTATCAATGTTGCACTTCTCAGACAGGAATACGCCAAACAAAATCTGGGAATTGTTTATGTATCTGAAGCAAAAATTCAGTGCCTACTTTTATCCATTCAAGAACATTGTTGTCGACGAGTCCTTAGTTCTGTTCAAGGGATACTGTCATTCAAACAATATATACCAAGCAAATGTAATCGCTTTGGTATAAAACTCTGTTATGTGTGACTGAGACTGGTCTTGTGTTAGATGTCATTATCTACACAGGGAAAAGTACACTCGGTGATACCAGGCACATGTTGAGCATTTCTGGGGATTTTGTTTGCAAGATGATGGGGCCATACCTAGGCAAAGGTCATACATTGTTCACAGACAACTGGTATACAAGCCCTATGCTTGCAGATTTCCCATGTGTGAACAATACTGATGTATGTAGAACAGTGAGAAGTAGTAGAAAACACATGCCAAAGTTCACTGGAGGAAGTCTAGTAGAAGCGTTTCATGCCGACATCATGGCACTGACGTGGCATGACAAACGAGACGTGACATTGCTGTCACCCATCCACAGAAACGTGATGGTAAAGACAGACAGACAGACTGAGTAGGTTCAACAATGAACCTATTGTAAAGCCAGCTGCTGTCATCGACTATATGAACAATATGCGACTAGTCGACAAGTGTGACATCATGATAGGGTTTGTTGACTGTGTGTAGGAGTCGCAAGTGGTATATAAAAGTTTTTTTCCACCTTGTAGACAATGCAATGCTCAATACCTTCAACATATAGGAAATAAAGACTGGGAAGCGACAACGATATGCACAATTCACCCTCAATATCATCAAGCAGATAGCGAAAAATTATGGTACCACACCTATACCTGTCACTCCACAGCGACCTGTCACCTCACAACAGTGACCTGTCACTCCACAAGAAGAGGGGGGGAAGTGCCCAACCGAATAATCCCTAACTGTCACTGCCTGGTACCATTACCATCTACTTCAAAGAAGAAGTACTCTCAGAAAAAGTGTGTTGTGTGTGCTTACACTAAACAGCGACCCCCGAGTGCGAAAAGCAATATGGGGTGGCACACTGTATGAATCCATGCTTCTTGGAGTACCATACAGTGGTGGACTTCTAGAAACATAAATGGGACTTGTAAATACCTTGTATATATATATATGTAAACAATAGTATGCGATTGAACCAGATGTACAAATTCATATATCAGTGTAAACATGCGTGTTTGTGACAGTGTGATTACTAATTCCGTACCAAACATTTGTGTCTCAACAAGAATTGGCTATGAAATCAAAAGATCTGCAACAAAACATTATCAACATGAAAACAACAGAAAATAGAAAAGAACTGGAAAAATCGATAAATGTTTATTGTTTATGCAAGCGGCAGTGCTCCATGTTGCTGACACTCATTTAGCACCAACTTCGTTGGCTTATATCTCGGCAAGTACTGACCCTAACTTTTTTTTTTTATCCTATACCATTTATTAAAATGCACTCTTCAATTTAAAAACAAAATTATTTTTTTTATTTTTCAAAGTATTCGGAGCACTGTGCAGGCGAACATATATCTACATTTGGACAGTTTAAGGGTTAACTATTCCTCAAAATATTCCCTTCATCTTCCTGATACTTCTAACTCTCCATTTAATAACTCTCCTCTATTTTAACTGTCAAATCCATTTGTTCCCTAGGCTTCCCCAAGGTATTAATCTCACTCCAAAACTTTTTCTTAGTTTCAACAAAATTTGTTGATAACATCTCACCCACTCTCTCATTTGCTCTCTTTTTACACTGCTTCACCACTCTTAACCTCTCTTTTTCTCTCCATATACTATTCCCTCCTTGCATCAGTTCTACTTTGTAAAAATCTCTCATATGCTAACTTTTTCTCCCTTACTACTATTTACATCATCATTCCACCAATCGCTCTTCTTCCCTCCCGCACCCACTTTCCTGTAACCACAAACTTCTGCTGAACACTAACACTACATTCTTAAACCTACCCAATACATCTTCAACCCCATTACCTATTCTCTCACTAGCTCATCTATCCTCCAATAGTTGTTTATATCTTACCCTAACTGCCTCCTCTTAAGTTTATACACTTTCACCTCTGTCTTACTTGCTGCTTCTATTTTCCTTGTATCCCATCTACCTTTTACTCTCATCATAGCTACAACTAAGAAGTGATCTGATTCACGAAATCGTAATGAAACGATTGCAAACAAACCATACCACGAGCGGGGATAGAACCCGCGATCAGAGTCTCAAAACTCCAGACCGTCGTGTTAGCCACTGGACCAGCTAGCCACAATAAGATTCGTCCAACTAGGTATATTTCTACACCATAGGAAGGTTAGCATAGGCACCACTGTGACCAAAATGCAATTGTCACAGTGGTGCCTATGCTAACCTTCCTATGGTGTAGAAATATACCTAGTTGGATGAATCTTATTGTGGCTAGCTGGTCCAGTGGCTAACGTGACGGTCTGGAGTTTTGATAGACTCTGATCACAGGTTCTATCCTCGCCCGTGGTATGGTAAGTGATCTGATATATCTGTGGCCCCTCTATAAACCTGTACATCCTGAAGTCTACTCAACAGTCTTATCTACCAATACATAGTCCAACAAACTACTGTTATTTCGCCCAACATCATATGTTGTATACTTATTTATCCTCTTTTTCTTGAAATACGCATTACCTATAACTAAACCCCTTTCTATACAATGTTCAATCAAAGGCCCCCCCCCATTATCATTTACACCTGGCACCCCAAACTTACCTACCACACCCTCTCTAAATGTTTCTCCTACTTTTGCATTTAGGTCCCCTACCTCTCTCATTTGGTTCTAAGGTTCCTATACATACACTTAACATCTCCCAAAATCTTTCTCTCTCCTCTACACTCCTCTCTCCTCCTGGTGCATACACACTTATTATGACCCACTTTTCATACCCGACCCTTATTTTAATCCACATAATTCTTGAATTTATCAAATTATATCTTTATAATAATGGTTCAAGATAGACCAAAATGTCTATTGTTCCAGCCATAGTATCACAAATTTTAAATCTATTTAAATACAAAACTTATTTAAGTATGCAAATTTTGCACTTAGTTTTATAAATAATAACTTTAGACTTGCCTGAAATGATGGGTGAACTGGAAGTTATACACTATTATACCCCAAATATATCACAATATTCAAATCCATCTTACCGTGTGAGGAGAGGATATTAATTTGCCATTGACATATGTATCTCTGCCTGCCTCTGGAAGTAGTTGCAGATCACCATTTTTATTCTTTATGGAACTGAAATAAATTATCAATCCTAAATAATGAGGTGATAGGGTAATTGAACTGATTAATTCAGAGTTGTGCATTTCAAATGATTCGCCTAACCCTTTCAGTGTCGGTCATGTTGTATCACGGCTTTGAAGCCAGTGTCAGTCCCATAGTATGACGCCATAAGCTCAGCTCACCCAGATAAGCTGTGAGCTGTAAATTTGGGCCTAGATATGGGAGAATGGGTCTATGTGGTAGGTGTGCACCATATAAAAAAATCCTGCAGCATGTGGTGCACAAGGAAAAAAAAAAAACTGCGAATGTGTTTTTGGTTTACAACAGCGACTTTGTGATGTATTTCTTTAAGGCTTTTGAGGTTGTATTTTTTTTTTTTTGGTCTCATTTGATAGAATGGAAGACATATTACAGAAATAGAGATAATTTTGACTAGTTTCAAGACTGAAAGTAGCTTGAAACCGAGCTCAAAGTAGCAGAAATGTTCGATTTTTGCTGATATACCAGAGTACACAAATGATGTAACTTGTCCAACATAGAGTCCAACTGGCCAATCTAATACACATTTAGGAATGCACTGACATTTATACAATTATTACAATAATGCAGTAGTCTGCATAACTAAATTTTCTATTTTTTTGTGCGAATAAAAGTTAAAAAATGACAAGCAAGCATAATAAAAGAGGAGCCTGGAGACGTGACTGAGGAACAGGGGAAATGTTTATTTAGTGCCAAGAATGTCTATATTGTTTATTATGGACCCTGTTTTCAAACTGGTAATTGTTGAATTTTGTATGAAACTGGCCAAATTACAGATTTCTGATCACTTTATTGGATAGTTGATATGGTTAAATGGGCAGTTTCTTGTACTCAATCGATAGAAAGAATACTAGTGAAATAGCTATGAGTTTGGTCAACTGGAACAGTGGAATTGGCCAAAAATAAGAGTGTAAAATGGGCAAAATTGCTGATGTGTAAATATCACTGAGATCACTAAATTTGTGAGAGCATAATTCCTTAGTTTTCCATCAAATTTTGTACTTTTGGTTTCATTACCTTCAGAAAAAGATTCTCTATCATTTCATATTTTTTTTTTTTTGAGAGTTCTTCAACCCTGGGAGCAAGTTTGTGAGCAGGAGTCTCAACACTGAAAGGGTTAAAACTCTCATATCTTAGTATTCCTGTCTGCACTTGAAATCACCATTCATGCTTAAAGTCATATATTAATTTCTATATCCACAAATGACTAATCCCTTAACACTCAAATCAGTTATCACATTTCCAATTCAGTTTCATGTAAACGTATCCCGTGCCATACTTGTGATCATATTACTAGTTTCTCTACTCTCATAACCTCACCCTTACACTCAGTGTGTATCTCTCAGTTTAGCACATGCTGGTTTACTGTCCAGGGTTACATAGTACTAGATCAAACATTCTGCCTTATTGTCCAAGGTTACACAGAGCTAAATCAAACATTCTCACATATTGTCTGAGGTAACACAGTGCTAGATCACACACTCCGACTTACTGCCCAAGATTTACCTCTTGATTTCATAGGTCATCAATGCTGTAACCCAGACCAATTATTATTATTATAATCAAAAAGAAGTGCTAAGCCACAAGGGCTATACAGCGCTGCAGGGTAGGGAAGGAAGTGAGGGTAATGGGCGGTAGAAGGGGGGAGGGATGATCAGTAGGTTACAGAAAACAGCGGGGCAAGGGATAGTGCGGGGGTAGAGGGCAGCAAAAGATTGAGGTAGAAAGGGCTGAAGGTAAATAACAGGTATCATCAGAGTTTGTGAAGTCAGTCACTTGTTGTCAAAAAGTCAATGAGAGTCTCTGGATGAAAGGTGGGTCCATCAGCGAGAAGGGAAGGTAAAGAGAGCAGCGGAGCGAAGACGACGTTGGAGGTATATTCTGCATGCTCGTTGATAAAGTGGGCAGTGTAATAGAATGTGGCTAACCAATAATATAACCTGACAATTCTCACAGAGAGGAGCAGGGTGCCTCTCCATGAGATAACCATGAGCAAGACGAGTATGGCCAATGCGAAGACGGGAGAGAGTAGTCTCCCAACTTCGACACTGGTGACAAGAAGACGGCCAGTAACCTATACTCGGTTTAATAGATTAAAGTTTGTTACCGAGCAGAGTAGACCAACGTTGTTGCCAACGGGTGTGAAGGTGGGTAGCTACTGCAGCAAAATAATCCGTAAATGGAACACCTCTATATGAAACTGGTAGGTCATGTACTGCTGACCGCGCAGCAGTGTCTGCCTGTTCATTGCCCTGTACGTCAACATGACCAGGGACCCAACAAAAAACAATATCTTTATGCTTGGAAGAGATGCGGCGTAGCCAAAGTTGGATACGGAGGACTAAGGGGTGAGGTATATCAAATTTCTGTATAGCCTGTAAAGCACTAAGGGAGTCTGAGACAACTACAAATGATGACATAGGCATAGATGCAATACGGATAAGTGCTGCAAGAATGGCATACAATTCAGCAGTAAAGATACTAGCCGAAGATAGTAAATGCCCTCGTACGACACTGTCCAGAAACACTGCTGCGAATCCTACCCCATCAGAAGATTTAGAGCCATCTGTGTACACTGCAATGGTATGAGAAGGAGAGTGGAAGTGGTCAAGAAAAAGAGCGGGAAGCTACAGTAGACAGTTGGGCTTTCGAGCAAGGGAGTGAGAAAGAACAGACTCAAACAGCTGGAACTTCCCAGGGGGGTAGGGAAAAGTGAGATGCTACATGAACATAGAAAGGTGGTAACTGAAGAGAAGAGTGAATGTAGGCGAAGGGAGAAGGGACGGAGCAAACAGGGGCGGCGAACAAAGAATGTCTACTAATATTGGTGACCATTCTATAAATGGAAGGATTGCGGAGATCATGAGAGTGTACATTGTAGCGAAGGCAATGGGCATCACGGCGATTGGATAAGGATGTAACGTTCGCTTCTGCACAGAGGCTCTCAACAGGGGAAGAGCAAAAAGCACCAAGGCATAAACGTAATCCTTGGTGATGGATGGGGTTAAGGCTAGAGAGATTAGCAGGAGAGGCCGCTGAATAGATCTGGTCACCATAATCAAGTTTCGATAAAATGAGGGCGGAATGTAGGCGAAGGAGAGTTCGACGATCAGCTCCCCATGAAAGATGAGCAAGGGTTTTAAGAAGGTTCAGCCGGCTGTGACAAGTTGCCTTCAGAGAGGTAATGCGAGGTTTCCAGGATAACCTATGGTCAAAGAGGAGGCCTAGAAACCTGACTGAATCACGTTCAGGGATATGGGAGCCATAGAGGTACAAAGGATGATCGGAGATGACAAAGTGTCTAGTTAAAGTAATTTGGCGAGTTTTGGTACTGGAAAATTTAAACCCATGTGTGGTGGCCCAATTGGAAACACGGTCGACAGCATGGTGGAGAGAAATTGTAATGAGGTGAGAGTCAGCGCCTGCACATGCAATAGCGAAGTCATCAACATAGAGTGATGACCAAATATTGGATGGAAGACTAGAGGCCAAATCATTTATAGCAAGGAGAAAAAGTGTTGTGCTCAGAACACATCCCTGGGGGACACCTTCAGCTTGGATAAAGTCCAGGGAGAGCACATTATTAACCCGAACACGGAAATGTCTGTCAGTTAAAAAGTTCTTAAGGAAGGATGGTAGATTGCCTCGAAGGCCTAAGGAGTGGGCTTGGGCCAAAATATTTAACCTCCAAGTTGTGTCATATGCCTTCTCAAGGTCAAAAAATATGGCAATAACTGAGTGGTTATTCGCAAAGGCATTACGAGCATACGTATCCAAGCGTAGTAAGGGGTCTATGGTAGAACGGCCCTTACGAAAGCCATGTTGACGAGTGGAGAGACTGTTGTGCGTCTCTAAATACCACACTAAACATCTATTTACCAGGCGTTCCATCACTTTGCAAACTGCACTGGTAAGAGCAATGGGATGATAGTGGGAGGCTTCATGTCCCGTAGTACCCGGTTTGCGGAAAGGGAGAACAATGGCAGATTTCCACAGCTGTGGAAGAACTCCCTGTGAGCAAATAAGATTGAAAAAGCGTAATAGGACTGCAAGGGCTGACTGATGTAAATATGACTCACGAAATCGTAATGACACGATTGCAAACAAACCATACCACGGGCGGGACTGAACCCGCAGTCAGAGAGTCTCAAAACTCCAGACCGTCGCGTTAGCCACTGGACCAGCTAGCCACAATAAGATTCGTCCAACTAGGTATATTTCTACACCATAGGAAGGTTAGCATAGGCACCACTGTGACCACAAATGCAAGTTTTTACAGACGAATCTCCAGCTAGCGAGGCCATGACGAACTCTAGCTCAAGTCCCCTCAATGCCGTCAACATGACTCATGAAATCGTAATGACACGATTGCAAACAAACCATACCATGGGCGAGATTGAACCCGCGGTCAGAGAGTATCGAAATGTGAAAGAAGAGAAAGATCATGAGCTTGGGTAGAATTCCGGACTGTGATGATGCGCTTACCACTCTTAAGAGCATGAAAGGAAATATCTCTACCAACGTGGCATAGGAGCGCTTTCCCAATACTATGGTCGGAAAGATAGGCAGTAGAAGAAGTCGGTCTTAATGTAAAGAATTTAGTCCATTGTGTGGTCTGAAACCGAGTGTGGAGAGGGAGTGCATGACATGTCGGTTTTTTCCGATTAGAATGGGAAGGTAACGAAGTAACATCATTAGGAGATTGTCGTTGACGTTTAGAAGTGGGATGGGCTGGCGATTCGAAAATCGCCGCACCGTAGAGGGAGAAGCCGGAAGCATAGTCAAAGGAGAGGGGAGGTCAGACAAATCGAAGGAGTCAGTGGAAGCCCTGGTACCTGAAGCGGGTGAGGAAACAGCACCAGCAAGAGGTACAGGGGCCTTAGGAATGTCCGAAGTGTGGCCAAAAGATGAGGCGAGGTCAGAACGGGGTGCGGTAACAATAAGGGGCCCGGGGGTAGCGGGGTCATGGATCG